ATATACATTTCACACGCGTCTGACGCCAGACTGCATGCAAAATAAATCATGGTGTAACGTGGAGGACTTAGCCGACCGCTGCCACCGATTCGTAATACACGGCAGAACGTTGATTTCGGGTAACACAATCCGAGTTCCTGGTGCCGATAGCGCTGTCAGACTGCCGCTAACAAAACCCTGTTTGGGGTGTGGTAAATACGGCCCAGTACAGACGCTCTCAATGAACGGATAGGAGACACTTCGGACGACAGGTGCTCCGTGGAAGCGGGATTTCCGAACAACTTGCAAAACAGGGAAAATACAAAACAACCATGAACCAAAAGGTTGAGTGAGACATGCACACGACTCACACTCAATCCAAAATGGCGGCAACGTGCTCAACGTGCCTAACGTTACTAGGGTACAAAAGTCTTCATAAAAAAATGTTCCATGATTTGCATGTGAGCCGAATACTGCCAAGTCTTCCAGGCTGAGACAGGTGAATTTTCTTGTGGAATCCACAACCGGAGCCTTCCTCTAGCCAAAGCCTGACCCGCAAGGCAGCGGGGCGGTGTGTGAAAACCGCAGTCCATTGTGGGCTGGTGTCCGGTTCCTCACATCAAACGCCCTTTGGACGGGGTCAAACGTCCAAGGTGTCCAATACACCTCGATGCCCAATTGAGACGGTAACCATTACCACAACCGAACAGGTGTGGGTGTGGTTCGTACGCCTCCTCTTCGTTGGTTTGTAATCAAGGTTTTTAGCCAACTCCCCTATGTGAACTGCCCGTGGTCCATCAACCGGTTTTGTAGCCCTGGATGTTGGCTTTTCGTCCTCTCGCTTTGGTGGGAAAACACTTTCACCACAAGAAGGCAGTGAGTAGGACTTCCTCAGCAGAGGTTATTTCAGACGCTTGGTTGTATGGGAGCATTTCGCGAGGTGCAAGGTTAGGTGACCAGCCGAAACCCTAGACACCCAACCCCGATCGTACTGAGGCTTGAGACTACGTTCAAAGCAACTCGAAGGGAACAAAGCGAACGCTAAAGCACGGCACTTGAAGTGTAGCTGACTGTACAGACAAAGCTGGGGTAATTCAACTACGGATGTATCGACCGATGCGTCGTTCTGAATGATCCAGTCAACATGCAGGATGGTGCGGTACGTTGATCGACAATGTCTGGCCAAAAAGATCGGAGATGAGCCAACAATATGTTTAATTTTGTTATGCGGTCGAGAATTAATTATATACTGTATGGTAGAATGTGCACTTGGCTTGATTTTAAATTGGATCAATACACCTCTTTCCACCGATCGGCCTTCTCTATTAAATTATCACTATCCTTCGGAGGTTTATCTGCATCTATTCCCATACAAAATCCAACTATGGCGTGTAGCGAAGTAATTGGGGATTTGTTTTGATTGTGCAAGGGAAACATACATTCGACCAATCTTTTTCGTATAATTTGATTACATTGAGCGAGACTGTTAAATGATTCATGCCAAAGCAAGTGAATTTCCTCGGGTGGATGGAGAAAATCGCAATTGTAGACCCCGGCTAGCTAAAGCCTCACCCGGGAGGTCAAAGGTGCGTAGAGTGAAAACGGTAATCCACCTAGGATCGTTGTCCAATTCATCAGATTGTACGCCCTTTGCGCGATGTCCAATCGAGTCGGTGACTACTACCAGAACCAGGAATGTGCTGGTTTGCTTTGCACGCTTCTTCTGCTTGTGGTTCACCAACTCGGTTATAGCCCGGATGCTAAGTTTTCGTCTTCTCCCATTGGTGAAGGCAATGACTAGGGCTTTCTCAGCTGAGACGCTTAGGAACGTGTGACGAGGTGACGAGGTGACGAGGAGAGGTAACCAGTCACAATCTAAGACATACACGCTCAACCATACTGAGGTTTTCAGATGTATTGGGTGGTGTGAGTCGTCATTACCTCAAGTCCGCAGTTTGTGTTGAAGTCTCACGAAATTTGCCCAAATTTCTCACGTATAGATGTTCCAATTTACTTTGTCGACTGTATCCCGGTTCTAGCACTTTAACAATGCAAACTGAATAGCAGGTTTGAATTGGCTTACATTCTATCCCATAATTCCAGCTGCGAGCGGCCAACACGTTTGGAGCTCCACTCCCGGCTAAACGGTCAACAACACCGCGTGTGCGTTCCATGGAACGATCCCCAGCCCATTTGAACGGACAGCGATTCATTTTCGGTTTGCAACAACATTCATCCACTTCATCCACCTCATCGGCCAATAGCGGTGGAATGGACGGACTCTATCAACCGCGAAGGCATCAGCTTCTGTTTGCAAAAAATAATGTCATGGTATGTATGTGTGTCAGTCCTCATTTATGTGTGCGTGTGCAAGCATGGTTTATTCGTATCAACCTTTTGTCCTCACGTGATGCGACGCGATCGAATCATGTGACTGGTAACCGCTGTCCCCTGAGGATGACTGTGTTTCATTTTCGTACCCACCCCCCTTCACTCCGCCCCCTATTGACCCTTCGAATTAGCCAATCGATGTTTTGCGTACTAAACTGATGTTCTACACCCAAAGTTTTGTGTTGAATTTTAAATTGAATTATATATTAGTATCACTATTAAATTAATATTAATATTATTAATATTAATATAATATTAATTAATATTAACGCAAGCATTAACCGCTGAAAACGCCAGATCTTCGTTTGTTAAGGTTGATAAGAATCTAAACCGTGGTTTTAGGAATGTTATGTTAGGATACATCAGGAATAAAACTGTTCTCCGCTTTGTGCAAATCGAAGATAGAGGAATGACTTTGTTCTTCATTCTTTTTGGTAAAATAAATTTCTACATGCGTTTTGTTACTCTGTCAAACCGGTCTGTAAAAGCGTCAACCGAGCATCAGATATCGTTAGCACTGAACCGCTGTCTCCTGCCTGTTACGAATAGGTTAACACCGAGTACCTGGAGAATCCCCGTGGGTTTTGAACTCAGGTAGGAGGGGTCGACAGATCAGTTTACTAACCAGTGGGGTTATTCAGGATAACCCACATGAAAATTACATCCTTTTTTATTACACACCTAAGTGTGATGAACAGCAGACCGGACGAATCCCATACTCAGTTCAGTGGTGGAAAACGGCAATCTAAGCTCCGGGACTTGCAGTGGCGAACCACACAAGGCCCTGATATGTTAGGCATGGTATTGAACCGGATGACGGCGGAGCTTCCTGCCACCAAAGTCGGGTGGCGGTGGCGGTGGCTCGAACCTCGGACAGTAGGGTCCAAAGCACGCCGGTGACAGTGACTACACCACTGTGCCACCACCACCCAGTATAGTTGAATATACAGGAGAATTATCGGAGCTATCGGTATAAAGACTATTCAGTCCTTATTGGATTGTGTAGGACCAATTCATTTTTTGCATGAGACAAATGATAGTGATCATTTTCACCATTTAGTTACGATTTGTTTAAGCTAGATTTTGACACAAACTTCCAGTCCCGAAAACGTCATTTTTCAACCTGTCCTGTGATTTCCTGTATAATTGGTGCAATCAATCAGTTTTGCTATTACTGCGCAATTTAGTTTTCGTTTGATATCAACATTTACCAATATTCCATTTTTGTATAATCCGTTGTAAGAAACCTCATGTACAGTATGAACTTATTTTCTTGACTGAAGAGCAACAAAAAATCTCACGATGAATTTCATCGTGCACCGGTCGAGGTAGGCATTAAATTCAAAGTTGCTAAAGTCTCACCACCGCCATGGCACGAATCCAACGACCAGAGGACCACGAACCCCAAAATTGCAGTTAATACTTGAGCTCACTACCGCACTTGATCACTCAAGGGTCTAGCTGACTATAGAACGTTTTCAATTTGTTCATCTATATATGAGATAGTACAACACATTCGGTCAGCTCACTTCGCCCACCTCAATCCTGGTTTCCACAGATATTCCGAATCTGACCACTTGTTACAATGAAAAAGTGGAGGATTTAATTCAATTTCATATTCAAGTTCATCGGATACAAAGCTAAGGAAATGGGATTTTCGTCACGGATTCGCAATGCTAGTCAGACCGACACACAGACACACACCAAAAATATTCGTTACGGCACCAGATTGCTTTTCAACCTTTTATTCCACACTTTTTTCTATCTGTATCCGGCGCAAATCTTCACGCATTCGAGTTTCACTCTCCCCTGTAAAAGAAATCCCCTATTGTTGAAAATACGTCAAATTCTTACGAACCCGATGACGTAGTTTTTCGAAATCAAATAAACCGCTGTTTACGTCTGGGTTACGTGCTGAGACATATGGTTACCACTACGGACCTAATTTGTATCAGTTCAACAGATGGCGGGATTATTCCACCACTGACTTCTCTTCGAGCAACTATCGGGAGTGATCTACCCTGGTAAAATCAATTTCAGTTTTTCCTCTGTCCAATTTTCGTTTATAATGATTCACAGCGTACTTCAACCGTCAGGAGGGAATGAAGAGAGAGTGCTAGCTATCAAAATATAGTTTAGTTCTGCCTTTGAATCCACAAATCCAGCATCTTGAACAATGGTTGTGCACAACTAACTAAATTTTCTCTCTCTCTCTGATACCGTTTTCGCACGAAAGCTCGGCAGCACCGATACAAATCGCGGTTATTTGGCGGTCTATTGTAATCTGTCTGGGGTGAACTTGCGTTGGACCTCAAACGAACTGTTGCTGCACGCTTCTAGTCTGCTGCATCGGAACATGCAGTTAGATGATCCGAACAACTCCAACGATGGGCTTGAAGCCGGCGACCAAAATTCACCGCAGGGTGAGACTGGAAATCCGAACCAAGCCACGGTGACCAAAGATAGTCAGGCCAGCTCAGAGTTCAAGGATTTGAAACAATCTAATACCTCCGATGGAGAGTCACAATCAAACTCGAACAGGCTTCATAAAGATGAAGAAACGTTCACGAAATTCCACAGGTAAGTGAGCATTACCGTCGCGTGAAAAGAAAACGAATTTAATTGTGAACAAAAGGAATGCCCTCTTCTTTGCGGCTAATGCACGGGATTTATGCTTGTGGGTATGTTTTAAGATTAAGTTTATGTTGTTAACTCAAATTTATAATTGGTTTACAAAGATGTAACAAAAGGATTTTTTACGTTTGATGATGGTCACCAATTCTAGAAGTCTGATTCAAACAGTAAGACTCGTAAGGTTCACAAATTGTATCATGTTATATAGATCGTGATAAAGCTTTGTATTCGCTCCCAATGGGTGTAGTGATCGAAGGTTTAATTCACTGTCATCGCTATGCTCTTGATCTGAGGTCCCAACCCGGCCAAAGGTACTGAATTTTGTGGATTGCAGCTTCGTGAACAAGAGGTCCAGCTGTGCAAGATGAGCATTCCATTGGAACCTCAGGTAGCTTGCTAACGAAAAGCCAAATCTTCTTCACTAACTGGGTCACGGGTTAGAACCCGTGAAATCGGAATAGCGAGCCGGATGGACGATAGTCTAGACTCGCACAGCTGAAAACAAAACAATCCAGTGGTCTAAAGGAGAATTACACAAATATGCCCAACAACATATGACTCAAAGCAAGAACCGAGCAAAAGAAGAAAGCAAAATAGTAGACCGCTCTGACGACTTTGTACATTTGGCTCGATCAAAAGACAATTGTAGCGGACAGATCGTCTACTTATGTACATTTTTACAGTCGATCATCACTGACCATCAAATTAGTTCGTAGGTTCAAAGTTATGAGGAAACTGACCAATCAGGGGCGAGTATGGTTGGTGGTAAGAGATATGACCTTTCTGGTGCGTAAAAGCGGACATTTGAATTTTGCAGAAAAAATTTCAAAACAGGAAAAGAATTGGGGTGATTTAGCTTTTTCGCATCAGTCATTTTTTCCATTGTTCGTAACGCAAAGTAGCATGATTAAAACTCCACAGCAGTATTATCAGCCCTGCACACTCAGATAGCTTTTAATGGCTCTTTTGGAATCTCCGTTCTCACCACTGAACTGTCAATTCTGTTTACATTGGTACCATGATTGCGAGTTGTTCGAGGCTATTAGTTGATACGAGTGACATATTCAATTACGTGATAAAGAATTTTCTAAGCAGCTCATCGCTCGCTACTCGGAGTAAAAAAGAAGTTTATCCATGAGACAATCGATTTGTTTATTTTCGTTTCGTTCGCCTGGACAGAAACAAGCATTTGCTTTGATTACATAGTACTAAACGGTCCGTTGAATCTATGATTCAGACCCCCCCTCCCCCAATTCTCGAAAATCAATGAAGTTTTATATCGGTAACCCTCGAATGATAAATAACAATCAAATAGTTCATCCACAAATGAAACGATGTACTCTTTCCAGTAACAGATAGCAAAAACAAAGAAGAATATCGCCAATTGCAAACTGGAGTTCACATAAAACATACTACTCATGGCCGAAACCGGAAGAATACCGGTCGACAAGCCTTTGCGGGACATTAGGGATCCAGTGCGACTTGCTGGTACAATATTGAGTTGCTCCGCTGGTGGTAGACTTGTGGCCTCCTANNNNTATTTGACCAGGTTACTCCCTGAGGTATTCCGACTGTTGAATCTGTTTCAAAGGGATTGTTGATTTTATTCTGACTTTGGTGAATAACGCAAACGAAGTGTGATCGAAGAAAGCTAGGAAGCACTGCGCATCTGTTTCGACCGGACTGGGGCTGAGAAGTAGTGTTATTATAACGGTGCGCCCCTGATTAGGAAGAACACAAGTCACTGAACTGGAACGGGATGACTAATTGTGTGAACACGAGTTACAGGGTCCATGGGTGAAAAGCAGATCAATAATCATTTAGCCTGTCGATACTGGTAGGGTCGATAGCGAGTTCGAAAAAATCACGTGACACTCAATGCCAACGTGCTGCGGCATGA